TATTTATTATTATTATGGGACCATATATTATTTGTTGGAGCGGGGGAATAGGGCCGTAGTATGGGTGAGAAAATAGAAAAAATAAGCTTACATATTTCAGTTTGAATTCAGTAGCCCATTTTAAGGATTTTTTCCCCACTAAAAAAAATATCCACACAGAGCGAAAGAAGTGCTATTTCTCAATGATCGGGTAAAATTTCGAGGCTTTATTTCACGTTTCAATGATTTTATTGACATTTTTGATAAATCCCCATACATTTTCTTATAACATGACACCACAGAAACCAAGCTTGGGCTACCTGTGCTGTATGCAGCTTCAAATAAATACCCTTCAATAAGCCTTTTCATAGTTTAAGAACCGATTCCACTGCGCATGCGATTTTATCCCGAATTTCTCACCTTCTTTTTTTTTTCTTCTTTCTTACCATTTACTAGGGCGTGCGTTACACTGATACGTTACGTTAATCTGCTATCAAGTTACTGATTAGTACGATTACCGGAAAGCTACCGGAAACTCAATAGTCAGGTAGCAGAAGCCGGAAAATGAGGGTTTCGTTCAACCCACGGATTAGAAAAGGTTTGAATGTGGATTCTGGGAGAACTTTACCCCCTGAACAACACCTGKTAGTTAGTGGAGTCGAATTGTGGTATAGGTTTTGAGTTAAGGGGAGGTTTTTATTTTAGACCAAAAACCACAGGGTACCCAATAATGATTTTTTGGAAAAAAAGCTTTTTCATTTAAAATTGCTACAGAAAAGCATCAAACATTACACAGCTACAAATTCTATTGTGGTATCTTTACYTTTAACTAATTTGGAACTATAAGGTATATAAAAAGTTTTCGCTATATGATTTATTTAAACATAAAAATAATCTACAAAATAAAAAAAAAATTTTTAATCATCCATTTATTGTAGCAGATTTTTGGTATGGAATTTGTAGAACTTAGATGATCTCAAATTTTTTCTAAAGCGTTTTAATTTGAGATATTGGTCAAAAGGAAGCGGAAATGCATTTCAGCCTCGCTTCCTTGAACGTCATATCGAGGCTATTACGTCACATCCAACATGGCAGCCTCCATGGATTCATCTTTGTTACGTCTGTAAAGACTGTAAGTATGTTTATATATGCCTTTTTTACTACATAAACTTAAGAACTATTGAAAAAAAACATTGATAAAACTTTCTTCTATAGCAACAATTTAATACGAGAAGAAAATATATATGAAATAAGAGCAATTAAAACGTCAAAMATCGCTGGGACGTGGTTGCTTTGACTAATGACGTTTAATTAATGCCTTGTTTTCCTATATATCCATTTCTTAGTTGTTACCATGGAGAGTGAAAAAGAAAAAATAGTTGAGTCGTCTGCTGAAAGTAGCTTTTCATTGCCCCTTCCTCCTGAGCCGAAAAGAAGGAAGCTTGACATTAGCAAATGTATCATTTGCCAACAATCTCGAGGGAGTGAGCCTCTAAGGACGGGCAAAGATTCTTCCGTTATCAAGCTCATATCCTCAGCAAAACGAAGACGAGATGAAGT